GCGTCGTCCCCCGTCCAGCTAGACACGGAATCGGACCAGTAGCATCGAGCCGTCGTTCCTCTCACACCAACCGCGATGCAACAATGTTTTTCGGGGTGGCTGCACCGCACCAAGGGATCCAACACGGCGGAGAGGCCAGTGTAGGGGTTTAGAGGTAGTCGTATGTGGCCCTGGCCTGACATGACGGATCTACCAGCTGTTCATTGGTGCTCGCTCTCGCCCATTGTAGTGAATCTGCCATCTTCAGGTAAGGCGGGTTACGTTGCGTTGGTGTGCTTTTCACAACTCGCAACCTGTAAGAGAGAGGTGTCATGTCTGGGTTACCTACCGAGACGCTCCTGTGTGAGTCGCATGCTGCTGCGGCAAGGCTTCGAAGCATGGAACGAGAAGCCGAAAAAAAAAAAAACCTACAGGGACTCTGGCAGTTCATCAGGCCAAGGTTGTTGGCCGTGTCAAGAGGAGGTTGCAGAAAGCCTGTCCTGGACGATGTCCGTCTCATCGATCGTCGAGAAGACGGCAGTCTGCAACACCAACGACTCAGGAAGAACGCCTCTTTTTCCGGGGTGCGGGGACAAATTCAGACTTGAAGTCGGCAGCTAAGGCGCTGTAGTTTGTAGACTATAGATGTGTAAGCCGTCGGGTGCTTTTTCCCACCAAATAGAAGGTCTTGGAGAGCGCCCTCATCCCCGATTGAGCAACCGGCGTTTGAGGGGCAACAAAGCTTCGGTTGGTCTAGGGCGGCTAGGTTTGATGGGTAGAAAGCAAGAGACTGACTAACAGTGATTGAATTAGCAATGCGCTGCCCGGTTACCCTTGAGACTGAATGTTTGGGTGTTTGGACGGATAGTTCAGCAGAGTTCCAGATACTCTTCGTGACCATACGACCTCGGAGACATGCCGGGAAGGGATAGTCGGCCTGAGAAGCCATGTTCGTACCCGAAGCGCCTGTGTTCGGGGCTGTCTGGTTTGGACATTATTGGCAGCTAGGCCGAGCGACTTGCGGCCCCCACGTAGCGACTATACCTCGGGTGCTGCTGTGCCGCAAGACGCCAAAGGGGCTCGGATACAAGCAAGCGAATGAATTGCTGAGGACGTGTAGGCGATGGTGACGGGCGGTCGTCTGTTGTTCAGAATCAGGGGTCGTGATCTATTGACAACTTGACGTGCAAAGTCTAAGCAAAAGGACATGTTGAGCGTAAATCCTCACCAGCGGCGGTCGTTGGATCGAAAACGGGAGCCATTGAGCTGCAGCAGTAGGCCTCCAGGCTGAAGGACGTCAATATCGGGACCCAATCAAAGGCGCGTTGGACGTGAGGGTGCCATCAACAACCTTGAAACCTAGGGCACCAGTCGGGCGAGACAGATGAAGGAAGCAGGATGTCGACTGTGTACTGCGTAGGTGAGGTCAGGCCGATAGCGAGCGCCACGAATAGACAACGCTGGAAAGGCAGAACGGTCGGGACCAGGAACGAGGGACCAATGGGCAGCCCAGGGTAGCGTTCCAGTGGACCGTCGTGTCGGGGCATGGCAGGCGTGGTAGACATGTAACGATGAGGGCGACGAGGTTCCTCTGGTAGTTCTTCCCGGGCGGGTGAGGATGCGGGCTTTTGTCTCACAGTTCAGATAATCAGACCGCCGGTGGCGTCGTTCTCACAGTGAGTTGAAGAGTGGTGGGTGAGGTAAGCGGAGAAGTAGTGTATTCCGGGCTCATGTAGGTATCGTATTTCCATCAGAAGGGCGCGTGGAGTTCCAGGGATCTGACTTGGACCGTCTCGCTGCATAGGCGGATGTTTTGATTTCCATTTCCTTCCCACTATCTATTCCGCCGTGATGGCTGGAAGCCGCCGAAAGCTGGATAGCGGATGGGCACTGGATGCATTCTGTACAGTGGAGAGTACGGATAGGTACACTACGCCAGAGAGAACCCGACAAGCAGGATGCTGGGTGCTGGGCGAACCGTGACCGAATCGACAGGGACCTTGCCGCACATAGCCCTGGCCGTCTTGGTGTCTGGTCACCAGTGGGTCAAAGTGCGGAGAGCGAGGGTGCTCACATGGCAGGCTGTTAAGTGCTCCGTGCCTTGATGTTGGTCAGCAAGGCGGTTGGGCGACACGGGTGAGTTGGTGGAAACTGGAGGGCAAGGGTGGAAAGGACCACTTGAATGGTACTTTTAACGCTATCGGTAACGGCCTCTCTCGAGAGTGCTAGCAAGCCGTGGGCTGTCAATGAAGGGTTCGAAAAAGAGGTCGTATCTATCTGCACAGTACTTGAGCAGAAACACCAATAACAGTCGTTATGCCTTGTACTAGGTAGGAAGTCCGCAGTGGGAGGAGGCTCAGGCTTGCGGATGGCTCCCGCCTGGGCAAAAAGGCTCTTGCAGCAAAGAATGCCTCGCCCTATGGTGGAACATGCTATGGAAGGGTTGTTCTGCATGCTGTTGTGTGAGAGAGGCTGAGCTTGTCTTGTGCCCAGGCTGGCTTGGCTGCGGTGTATTCGTCTTGCGTACGAAGTATATGCCATGCCAAAGTTACTCGGAGAGGGAGAGAGGAAGCCTGACCAATCCGTAGTTAGATGCTGCGTCGCTGGCGTCCTGCAGAACATTTGCTCTATCCCACCATGCCTAGGTCGGGTCATGCTAGGAGGAGAGACGCGGCTGGCGAACAGTAGGTCGCATGTCCCAGTCCGGGGGAGCACTCTGCGAGGATTGTCGAGTTACTAGAGAGACGAGGCGGATGTGGAAGTCACCTGGGGCCTGGGAAAGGGTTAGACCAGGAAACATGTCGTCTGACACACAAAGTGCAGTCAGTTTCACGAAGGTGACGGAATGCAGATGTTGATGAGGACTGAAGAGTGGAGGTACGTACAGTGTTCGTAGGGTAAGGTTCCTAAGGTAGGTGCCTACCTTAAGGTACCTCAGAATGCTGGAGCCGACAGGACGGGCAGGAGACAACGACAAACAGTCATCGGTCGCAATCGGGTAAAGTGTTAGTGCCGCCAGTCACATTGCAGTCGCGGTTGCAGGCAGTTTCCCCCCTTCCACCTGCTATTCGCCTCGTCGTTTGGAAGCGCCGCCAGGAACACCCAGCCCTTCATCCTCGCCTCTTCGCACTCAACCCTCAACCTCGATTCATTGACAATGGTGGGTGCGCTCTCCCTCTCTCTCTCTCCCCCTCACCTGGGCTTGACGACGGCGAGAGACCGAGCACGGCAGGTGTGAGAGCAGAGCACCTCAGAGAGGGGAAGACGAAGAGAGATAGCGTCATGTCGGCCGTTATCTCCGTCCGTCGTCCGTCGTGGGCTCAGTTTTGTCAGGTCTACCTTACCGTCTGTCAACCTGCCAATCCGTAAGTCCACCTACCTAAGGAATATGCGATCCACTCGCAGTCTACCACCTACCAAGTGCTAACAGTACGTACCTTGGGCAATGTGCGACTGCGGCGCGGTCCTGCCTTTTCCCTGCCTTCCTACCTTGAAGCCTTCGTACCTTCGTGCCTTGGTCGGATCACGGGTCTCCAGCCTCTTCCAATTGCTGCCCGCCATCAGTAAGGTACGTATGTAGGTAGGTAGTTGTGGTAAGGTATTCATACCTACCTCAGTGTATCCGTAAGGTAAGGTCAGGAAAGTACTTGCAAGCTGTCGTTGTGCGTGCCTGTCACCTTTTCTTCTGAAGGCATCCTTTTATCCGTCCTCGTCACTTTTCTCCTCATTCCTCCACTTCTCCCCCAATCGCTTATCCAAAAGTGACAAAGTACTCCGTAAGGTACCTACCTACCTTACCGTCTATTGACCACCAGCAGGAGGAAGATCAAAAAAGAAGAAGAAAAAAAAAATACTTACTCCTCCGTCTGGAAAGCAAAAAGACGCCAAACTTGCTCCAGCCTCTCCATGCCACCCCCTGGTCAGAAACCCCATGTCTGGCCTGTCTAGCCCTGCACTCGAGAACGAACTAGCCCCCTTTCTGTGCACTGCAACCCTTCGATTCCTTCCACCGACCTCCACCTTCCCTCCACTGACACCGTCAGGTTGTGGGTTGTCCAGGTGGGGCCCCCTCGTCCTCGGTGTCCTCCCCACCACTCGCAGTCAGCCATTAACAAAAGTCACCCTCTTTTCCGTACTTGCGTACCACCACTTGCAGTAGTCGCTCCCGGCGCCGTGTGTCCATGGTCTCCTCCGTACCTTAGCTCGCAATGAAGTTCGCAGACTCCCGTCACTCAGGTCTACTGCGTAATATGCACTAAGTATCCATAAGGTACGGCTCTGGTCTGTCGCCTGTCCTGCTGGCTGAGAGTGAGAGGTGCGGCGTGCCCTGTCACCCATCGTACCTTAGGTCTGCCCGTCTGTCTGTCGCTGTCCCGTCCCTGTCGCGTCTGCCACTACGTACCCAATCCAGGCTCTCCAACCCACAACCTCGCCTCCGTCCTCCTTGTTACTTGCGCCCATCAACCCCAGGACCCCAAGTCTAACGTCCAAATCCCGCCCAGGGCTCCTCCGTCTTTTACCTACCTTGCTCTCACCCACGCAGCTGCGAGGTAACGCAGACTACGCCTCTTACCAATCCTCCCTTCCTCTTGTTCATCCTCTTCCCACATTGTCCCTCATCATCATCACGCTACTCCTCCTCTTTCTACTGCCAACACGGCTGGGTTGAGAGTTTGTGTCCTGGCAAATGCTGCTTCCACCACTGTTGCCCGCATCCCATCTTCCCTGACACCTCTCGTTCCTCTCTATTCCCACCCTGCTACCACAGACCACCCGTATCTTCGGCCGAATCACCGAGGGAAACGACCCCTACTCCTCTGCGCCACAATCGCGCGCATCTCTCGAATCCCCTCGGATACACGATAATACCTCTCCCGCAACTTTTCCGCAGTGTATCCTTCATCACGACGTCAATTGTCCATCGCATGGTACATTTCGCCATATCTGCGCGGCCGCCGTGAGCTTGTCTCGCCCAGACATCACCCTTCACGCCAAATCCACGACCCCAACAAGTCGCCAATATGGCTGGCTTCTTCAACAAACTGAAGAGCGCGGGCAATGTGCGTTCCCTCCTCTCGTCATTCCTTTGACTATGCCCTGCTTATCGCGTGTCCTGAAATCCTCTATTCTCTCCGCTGCTGCTGCTGCTGCTGCTCGCGCGTTCTTCTGACTGACAGACCTCGTCCCTCACAGACCACCTCGAGTCCAACAAGCAAAGATGTGCTGAGCAAAAAGGTCAAGGAGGAGCCAGCGCCGGAGCTCACACCTTTGGAAAAGATGCTGCAGAACGCTGGTCCATTGAGGGAAGACGGAACTGACAAGTTCTTCGGTCTGGAGAATGTAAGTTTTGGAAGCCACACCCAGCCTAGCGACCGCCTTCCCGAGACAATGAATGCTGACTGAACTCGTAGTTTGGTAACACTTGGTAAGCGATGGTATCATCACTACATTGTCTCTCATCTGCTGACGTGTCTAGTTATTGCAACTCGATTGTTCAAGCATTGTTCTACTCAGAATCCTTCCGAGACCACGTCGTCAAGTACCCCACACTATCACCTACCGATACCCCGAACGGAACTCGACCAAAGGTGAATGTGACGATCCGACCGCCAGTCGCGAAAGAGCCTCCGAATACGCCCGGAGCGAAACAGAAAGGCCTGAGTGCATCGGAGTCAATGAAGCGCAGGCAGGCCATCACAGCTGGAATGCCACCTCCAGGAGCGCCAGGTATACGACCTGAAGACAAGCCTGATTCGCCAGAGTACAAGAAGAAACATGCCATGATTAAGGGCCCGATTCTCGAGCTAGCACAAGAGAACCCCTCCGCCTACGGCATGGAAGAATGCACCTTCACCGGTCTCAAAGACATCTTCCAGGCACTTATCGAGAGCAATACTAGGACAGGCGTGTTGAGCCCTCAGCGATTCCTGGAAATCTTCAAACGAGACAACGAGATGTTTCGAAACTCGATGCACCAGGATGCTCACGAGTTCTATGGTCTCGTTTTGAACGATGTCATCTCCAACGTGGAAGCAAATGCCAAACGAATTCAAGAGCGACAGGCCGAGAATAAAGACGGACTGATCCAGTCAGTGGAGAACGCTCTTGGCGCGACTAGTCTGATAAACCGACCAGTGAATGGTGTGGGATCTCCCGGAACCGGCTGGGTTCATGACATCTTTGAGGGTGTATTGACCTCCGAAACCAAATGCCTGACCTGCGAAACGGCCTCGCAAAGAGATGAGACGTTCCTGGATCTGTCCATCGACCTCGAGGAGCATTCGTCAGTTACGTCTTGCTTGCGCAAATTTTCCGCTGAGGAGATGTTGTGTGAGCGCAACAAATTCCACTGCGACCATTGTGGTGGGCTTCAAGAGGCCGAGAAGCGCATGAAGATCAAGCGTTTACCAAAGGTTCTCGCGTTGCACCTGAAACGATTCAAGTATACCGAGGATTACAGTCGACTGCAGAAGCTCTTCCATCGGGTCGTCTATCCGTACCATCTGCGCATGTTTAACACGACCGACGATGCAGAAGATCCTGATCGACTCTATGAACTATACGCTGTCGTTGTTCATATCGGTGGAAACGCCTATCACGGCCACTACGTATCAGTGATCAAGACGAAAGATCGGGGTTGGGTTCTGTTTGATGACGAAATGGTGGAGCCGGTCGACAAACATTTTGTGCGGAACTTCTTTGGGGACAAGCCTGGCATGGCATGTGCATATGTCCTCTTCTATCAAGAAACCACCTTCGAGAAGGTACAAGCTGAGATGGAGGCTGAGGGTCTGGAGGAGGTCAAAATCGCCAGTGAGGCCGCTAATGTTGCTCATGAAAATGGCCAACCAAACGGTACGACACCGCTCTCGAAACAGTTTACGCAACCAGTCAGTCCTATTGAGGAACGAGAGCCGCTGCCCAGTCTGGCACATGCACAGACGGCCCCAGGCAAGGTGGATGCTCCGCCACCCGAGAAGCTTCCTCCTCCTGTGACAGATACACCGGCCACTCCTGCTGTCCCCCCAATCCCATCCAACCTCGCCAGATCAAACACGGGCGCCAAGGCAGACAAGTCTAAGGAAGACAAGAAGCGGGAGAAGAAGGAGCAGGAAGCAGCGGACAAGGCCAGAAAACAAGCTGAGAAAGAGCAGGAGAAGCTCAAAGACAAGGAACACCGAGAGAGTATGGCCAGGGCAAGAACGGCTCATGCACGAGAAGCCGAAGATATGCGCAGAGCAATCAAGGCCAGCATGCAATCAGCAGAAGGAGACACCAAGAAGAAGGAGTCGTCAAGCTCAGGCAGTTTCCTTAACCGATCCAGCCGTGCTAGCAAATCGATGAGCAGGAAGAGTTTTGGATTCCTCAGCAAAGACAAGGACAAGGCTGAATCGCACCAGTCATCTGAGAATGGGCACGCCAGCCCAGAAGGCATGCCGAGTCAGCCCGAGAAGCCCAAAGAGTTGAGGGAGCGATTCAGTTTCAACCTCGGCCGGAAGAAGAGCGGCAATCTGCTGTCATGAGGTGGCGCATGAGGTTCTAACGATTCACCTGAAGATTTTGATATTTGACAGTACATACAGTAAAAAAACAGGAGCCAAGATCAGGACTCTGCACGATGTACAACCCACGCGGCTAGCGTCAGGCGCGCATCTAGTCCGTCGGCTGTATGGACGTTTAGGAGATTGGGGAAGTGGCGTCATGCGCAGATACCCAGGCATGGAGTGGTTTGCTTGGATAATACTTTTTTCCACTTAATGATGCAAAAGAGGAATACGTTGTGATGAAGGCATCTTGAGCGTTAGTTACTTTCCCCTGGCACCTACCTCATCGGGCTGTATGATAGCGCAAGGTGTGATCAACCAAAGACAGTACAGAGCATGTGAGAGCAGAAAGGCTCTCTCGAGTTCTAATACTCGGGTTGAAACAATGAAAGCCTCCTCACTACCTGATTGTGATATTACATTCGCCGGTCTTTGCAATGTTACCCGGGACATTTTCATACACGGTACACACGTGCGTGCCATTGGCAGCCAAAACCCCAACCGCTCTCCATCCTTTAACGCCGGTTCGTTACCATGATGCGATGTTGTGAAAGTGGAAAAGTCCAAGCCATATACGATGCATTAAAGAGCAGCAGCCCCCTTCATTTTTTGTGTCTTTCTATATCTTATTTCTTACAACCCCGACCGGCACCTTATCCGAGGATGAGTTCGTACAGGATGATGATAGTGTTGATTCCGATCAAGGGTACTGTAGCAGAGTGTCAGCATGGCGTTGTTTGTGGATTTGCGCATGTAGAGAGAGAGAGAGGGAGGAAGGGAGGGGATGTAGACACGTACTTCTCATCAGTGTCCGTACGCTGGCGATCAAGTTGATAATCTTTGCCTTTACGCTTGCGTCGTTGCTTGAGCCAAAGGTCGGGTCGTAGGAGGAGGGGGATAGGTTGACTAGAAGGACGTCGCGGTTAGCTATTGTAAATGTCTCTTTTTTTTCCTCCGGAGGGGGGGGGGGAAGGGCGCAGAACGGCAATGTTGCTGGGTGAGATTAGGCGGAACATACTGCGCGCGAGGAAGCGGTCTTCGGAGAGGACTGCGATGGCGTTGATGAGGAGGACGGCGACTGGGAGGAGAAGAAGGAATGTCAGTTTAGGTCGGGAAAGCTTCGAGGGGCAAATGATTTGGACATACTGTAGAGGAAGTTTCCTAGGATATACATCTTGGCGGTTTTGATGTTGGCTTGGGGAAGCCCTGGACGCGCCAAAGTGCGGTTTTGGTGTTGTTGTGTCCTTTCCGTGGGTAGAGCTTGTAGGAAAGGGGGGCCGTAGCTCTTGTCGTTCGAATTGAAGCCAGGTGGTGATGGTGTTGCGCTGCGCTGTCCAGAGCTTACCTTGGGAGGGATGGGATGCGCCGTCAGAGGTGGGGAGGCGTATTTGATCCGTTCCGAAGGAGAACCCCTGCAATAGATAGGTACCCCGTAAGGTAAGGTAGCCTGTCACTCTGTCCACACTGCAGGAGCGGCGTGGCTGAACCCCCAAGTTCTAACAGACAGCTTGCATTGAGTGGTGCTGGTGGTGCTGGGCCGTGCACGGACGCTCAGAGCTTCACCCTTTCAATGGCATTTGGATCTGCACGAGACGCCAGCTTACACTTGCTTCAAAGTGAAAAGGAGTGGAAATCGTGAGAAGCAAGAGAATTGAGGGTCAAATGAGGCAAAGGGAAAAGCACAGGGCAAATTGTTTCAAAAACCCACTTCTCATTCTTCACTCCCATCTTTTTCTTGCTTCTTATTCACCTTGGGCCTTTTCTGTTCTCTGTGAATATTCCAGCAATGAGATAGTCAGTCACCACCGACAACCTCCTTCACCTACCTTCTGCAACGACATCTCATAGCTTCTGCCCTCCTAGCCGGCTCCGTTACAATGAAGCTCCTAGGTAATTCAAACAAGAAACCCACAAATTCCTCATCACAGCTCAGAAAAAAGAGAACTAACCAGTTACCCTCAGATAACGCTCTCCTGGGCCTCATCCCAATCCTCATCACCCTCCACCTCATCCTGGCCCCGGACACAAAAGTAGAGGAATCCTTCAACATCCAAGCCACCCACGACGTCCTCGTCTACGGCACGCCCACCCACGACGTTGCCGCCCGTCTAAGGGCCACCTACGACCACTTCGAATTCCCCGGCGCGGTGCCCCGCACATTTGTCGGCCCCGTGCTGCTCGCCGGCCTCGGCGGGCCCCTCGTCAACCTCGTCGGCTTCGCGCACGCCCAGCTTGTCGTCCGCGGGCTGCTGGGCCTCGCCAACGCCGCCGCCCTCGTCGTGTTTGCCAGGAGCCTGAGAAAGGGACTGGGCGAGGGCGTCATGAGGTGGTGGGTTCTGTTGCTCGTCGGCCAGTTTCACGTCATTTTTTATGCGTCGAGGACGTTGCCCAACATGTTTGCCTTTGCTTTGAGTGAGTTTTCTGTCTCTTCTAACCCCCTTTTTTTCTTAACCCCCTTTCGAAACTCGAGATTCCTAACGAAAAACCCTCACAGCAACCCTCGCGTCCGCAAACCTCCTCCCAAACCAATCCCCGCAATCCCACCTCCCGCGCCTTCGTGTAGCCCTCTCCCTCCTCGTCTTCGCCGCCGCAATCTTCCGCTCCGAAGTCGCCCTCCTCCTCGCCACGACGGGCCTCCACCTCCTTCTCACTCGCCAGCTCACGATCCCCCAGCTCGTCCGCCCCTTTCTCATTGCCTTCGTCGTCGCCCTCGCCGTCTCCGTACCCCTGGACTCGTACTTTTGGCAAAAGCCCCTCTGGCCCGAGCTCTGGGGCTTCTACTACAACGCCGTCCTCGGCTCCTCGTCCAACTGGGGCGTCTCCCCCTGGCACTACTACTTCTCCTCCGCCCTCCCGCGGCTCCTCGTCAACCCTCTCACCTTCACCCTCCTGATCCCGCTCGCCCTCGCGCAGCCCGGCACGTCCCGCTCCGCCGTGGGACTCGTCATCTCGCCTCTCCTCTTCGTGGCCATCTACTCTCTCCAGCCGCACAAGGAAGCCCGCTTCATCTTCTACGCCGTCCCGCCCCTGACAGCCGTCGCTGCCCAAGGCGCAAACTTCATCTTCACCCGCCGCGCCAAATCCGCCCTCTACGCGCTCGGCTCCCTCCTCCTCGCCCTCAGCGTCCTCGCCGCCCTCGCCGCCTCGACGGGCATGCTCCTCCTCTCCTCCCTAAACTATCCCGGCGGCGACGCCCTCCGCCAGCTGCACGCCCTCGTCGCCGCGTCCCCCGCCAGCTCCTCCGTGACGACCGTCCACACCGACGTGCTGAGCTGCATGACGGGCGTTACCCTCTTCACCCAGAACCGCGTCGGCCTGCCCAAGAACCCGCACTCCCGCGCCCTCGAGACCGCTCTCCAACAAGACTCCTCCTATTCATCATCAACACCAGGCACGGATCCGATCCTCGCATTCGATAAAACAGAGGACAAATCCATCCTCTCCGACTCGGGCTTCTGGTCCCGCTTCGACTACGTTCTCGCCGAGGACACGGCCTCCGTGAAGGGTGGCCAGTGGGAGACGATGGGCGTCGTGCAAGGGTACGCCGGCATCGAGGTTCTGAGACCGGGTTCAGGTTCCGCTACCTCGTCCGGGGAAGGGGACGAAGAGGCTGGGGAAAGCAAGATCCTAGGTAGAGGCCTCGTTGTCAAACGCTTACGGGATTTCGTACGGAGCGTGACGGGCGGCTGGTGGGTTGGGCCGCGGATGGAGCCGCGGATACGCATCATGAAGCGGGCCAAGGATATTGGTGGCGCCAGTGCCCGCATCGTGTCTTCATAAACGGTATGGTGTCTTTATAGATAGATGGTGTGTAAGAATACAAAAAGAACGCATCAATACCCAGATGGTCCGAGATTCCTTATTTGAAGAAAGGCACAAGTCTCTAGTTGATGGAAGACAATACTAGGTATTCAATCGTTTCATACGCCGTGCGGTATGCTCCGGCTTTGTGGCAATAAGACAAGAGCAGACACTATCCTACCACAAAAGGCCAACCAGTGCAAGCAAGGCCTCGTTTCCTCTCTCTCTCTCTCTTCAACACCAACAACAACCCTGAACACTGCCAATGCCAATGCCAATGCCAATGCCACTGTCACCAACCAACCCTTCCGCCATCCCAAAATGACTAAGACTTTTCTTGTTTTCAATCCATGCCAGCACACAGTCCGGCCCCGTCCTTGCCGTGGTCCCAATCCACCCACCCTGCCCTGGTCCTATCCACCGCCTTTTCCTCCATCCAACACGCTTTCCACGACCAGCCGGTCGGAGCAGCTCACTAGCCAAAGCCCTGGGTAACCCAACTTTCTGAAACAATGACATACGGAAAGCAGTTTGGTCGAAACTGCGGCTCGCTAAAATTGTCTGGGTGTCGTAATCGCATGATACAGTAATGGAATATGTATATAAGAGGCGCCTTCCCCCCCCCCCCCCCTCTGAAAGAAACGGGTATCCAGGTATTGTTGTTGTTGTTCTCGTTGTTATTGTTGTTGCTTTAGTGGTAGACGGGATGCTGTCTTGCATCGTAGGTATACTATATGAGGTCGCAGCAAGGGAATCATGAAATGAACGCTCGCCACGCTTCTCTCACTCCGTTTCGCTCCCGTCATCTTCAGTGTCGTTCAACTCGCCATACAACGCCTTATACCGTGCCAGCTCGGCCATCTGCTTGGCAACCTGGTCAAGAATATCGCTCATGGGACCTCGCATATCCTCGAGTTGTTGCAGTGGAGCGCTGCCGAAGGCAATATGGCGAAGCGACAAACTCGTCACGCAGGTCTGGCAATTGGTTAGCAAAGGCCCTTCACAAACAAGCACCGTGTCAGGACTTACCTCTATTCTGCTCACTTGATGCTCCATGAAGTTGAGCAGGAATCGTTCCGTGACCTCACCTCCTCGGTGTTTCATTCTCTCCAACAACTCTGTTTCGGGTGGCTGTAAGCCCTGGCCAGATACATTTTCTAGTGAGCTGCACAACATCT